GGACTACATTTCTTAATAGCCATCTATGAGCTGTAATCATCCCTTTGGCGTCAGCAGAAGCACAGTTCCTTGTGGGACAGCACACCTTTGCTCTGAAGGGAAAGGAGAGACAGGTGATGCTGCAGGCAGGTGCTGATGGGGGGAGTTGTGGAGGAGAGAGCCAGAACGCAGATGGCTCCTGGCTAACGGATGTCAGGAGAGTGGTTTAGGAGCCCACAGCTGAGGGAGCCCAAGTCACAGGCTGAGGATGCAGCAGTGTGGTAGAAGGAGCCCAAGCCCTGGGCCGAGGAATGTGTCCGCATCCTACAGCTGCTGTGACAAGTGGCCACAAACCTAGTGACTTCAAACCACACACTTTTATTATCTTGCTGCTCTGCAGTTCAGAAGTCCAAAATAGACCACTGAGCCAAGCTCAAGGTGTTGGCAGGTCTGCGTTTCTTCTGGGGGCTGCAGGGAAGGATTGGTTTTCTTGCCTCTTCCAGCTTCTAGAAGCTGCTGTGTTCCTTGGCGTCTGACTCCTTCCTCTCTTCACAGCCAGCAGTTACATCACTATAGCCTCTGCTTCTCTAGTCACATCTCCTTCTGTGACTCTGGCCTCCCTGCCTCCCTGTTTCCCTCTTATAGTGGCTCTTGTAATTATATTGGGCCCACCCAGATAATGCAGGATAATCTCCCCATCTCAGGATTCTTAACTTAATCATGACTGCAAAGTGCCCTGCAACCTGGGGTCTTCGGCCTTCCGGACCCTGTCAACGTGAAGGCCTCTGAGGCTGGCTCCTGACACCAAACAATGCTAAAAGGCAAGCAAGGGGAAATAAGAGGGAAGAAAGATGGCAGAAATGTTCAGAATGGAAAGGGACTTTCATGAGGAGAGAAGTCAGAGGAGAACAATAATGGGACTATGGTTTAGAGGCCTTGCTGTTCATCCTTTGATAAAGCAGAAGCTAGTTCAGATAGAATTCAGACTGTGAAAAATACTTTAAATTTGTAGGGACAGAACGCATTTAAAATTTTCCTGTGAATTATACAACGTCACGGTCTAAGTCTTTACAGCCTGTACCCTAGAGATAAGAATAAATATTGTTCATGGTTTCTTACAAAGCTCTGTTATGGAGAGATGGCAGCTATTCAGAGTACCTAGATAATAAATTCTTCCTTGTGAGAATCTCATGTTGAAATAGGGAAAAGTTTTTCCCTTGGAGCCTAGAAAAATGTGTGTGGAGAAATTTCTTAAATACTGAGGAAAAAATTCCAGCTTGTTTGTATTTTATCTTGCACAAAATCTGTGGGCTTCGTAGCAGCTTTTTTTTACACAGAGACATCATTAGGATCTACCATCAGGATTGTCAAAAGAAGGGTTCTCAGTTTCTGGGGAATTTCCAGCAGCGGTCTCAGCTTCCACAGAATCAGTTGCACGATCATCTTCACGTATTTCAGGTTTTTGACACTGGGGGGAAAAAATGAACCTCTTATAAATCACATAATGTTTCTTAAAATTATGCAAGTAATAAATAGATAATTTGTCCTTTTTCTGTCTCATTCCTACCTCAACCTACCCTCTAAACTCCTATTAGGTCATTTGCAACTTTTGATATACTTCCAGACTTTTACAATAAAAATATTCATAGTCTTTTTGAACATAAACTTATGCTAGTCCCCCAAAAGCCAACCTACCCTTTCATGATATTTCCCAAAAATTACCTGTTTCTTCTCTCCAAGGTTATTGTTATTTGACTTTTAGATGAGGTCATCAATCCAATCTCTTTTTTTTTTTTTTTAGTTTCAAAAACTAGCTTGCATCACTCTACACTATAGTCTAGCTTTTGTTTTGCCTGGTTTCAAATCCTATGTGAATGAAATTTTAAAAAGTATGCAGGCTGGGCTCGGTGGCTCAGCCTGTCATCCCAGCACATTGGGAGGCTGAGGCAGAAGGATCACCTGAGCCCAGCAGGTCGACGCTGGGGTGGCTGTGAGTGTGCCACTGCCCTCCAGCCTGGGCAACACAGTGAGACTCCAACTCAAAAAAAAAAGTATGCATTCTTTTGAGTCTGTCTTTTTATACACAACATTGTATTTGTAAGATTCATCCATGTTGTTAAATGTAGGTATAGTTTGTTTTAATTGCCAGGTAGAATTTTACTAGAGCAATACACCTCAATGTATTCACCACTAACTCATTTGTGTTGTTTTCCACTTTGGGGTCATTAGGAATACTACTACCACACACACACACACACACACACACACACACACACACACATACTTTTTTTCCCCTGGAAGTATATCTTGGTTCATATGTGCAAACATTTAAAAAAAATTATTTCAAGCCGGGTTCGGTGGATCAGCCTGTAATCCTGCACCTTTGGGAGGCTGAGGAGAGTGGACTGCCTGAGCCCGCGGGTTCGAGACCCGCCTGGGCAGCGAGACCTCATCTCTACAATAAATAAAAAAAAATCAGCCGGGTGTGGTAGCACATGCCTGTAATTCCGGCTACTTAGAAGGCTGAGGTGGAAGGATCGCCAGAGCCCAGCAGATCAAGGCTGCGGTGGCCGGGAGCAGCCACTGCACTCCAGTCTGGGTGACAAAGTGAGACTCCAACTCAAAAAAAAAAATTATTTCAGTAGCTTTAGGGGGTACATTTTTGGTTACATGGTTGCAGTGTACAACAGGGAAGAAGTCTGGGCTTTACCTGTACCACTTCCACCTGTGTACATTGTTCCTGATAGGAGAGTTTTTGTTCCTCTGCCACTACACCATTCTGGGTCTCCAGTGTCCATTATACCATTCTCTATATGTGCAATTGTTTCTGTTGGTTATATACCACAGACTTAAATTACTGATCATAGGATATGCATAATTTTGAGTGGACAATGCCCCAAAAGTTTTAAAAGTTGCTGCAATAATTGATATCTCAGCTAGGAGTATGAGAAAGATTTATTTTATCCAGGATCTTTGCTATTACTTGGCATTGTCAATATTTTGAAATTTAGTCATTCTGGTAGCCACTTAAAATATCTCATTATAGTTTTAATATCATTGTTATTAAAATAAGTGGCTTTATGTCTGACATTTTGTTATTTGTTTTCTATATGTCCCATGTGTTTTCTGTTCTTCTTTTATATGTTTTAAAATTAAACATAGTTTATGTCTATTATTTTAATTCCTCTGTTGGTTTTTAGCTATAATTTTTAATGTTTTCTTAGCCATTAGGTATACATCTTAATTTATTAAAATCTATTTCACATGAATGCGAATTTAATGTCAGTAAAACACAGCAACTTTGTTCCCAACTAGCTTTATGCCCTCTCCCTTTCTTTGTGCTATTATTGTCATTTATTACTTCTCTATATGCCATATAGCTAATGATGTGGTATTATAATTACTGTTTTTGCAATTTTATCTTTTAAAATTTAAGAAAACAAAGGAGAAAATATATTTCTATTGAGCAGGGATTGGCAAACTATGACACATGGATCAAATCCAGCTGGCTAACACATTTTTGTAAATAAAGCCACATCTGTTCATTTATGTCTTGTCTATGAATGCTTTCATGCTACAAGGTTAAGCAGTTGTGACAGATGGAATTAATCTTACTAAAAATATGACTGTAAATTAAGAAAATTACCTTGGGTTATCTGGATGAGCCCAGAGAAATTTATGCAATCGTTTTTTAGTCAGTTAAGAAAACACAAAATATGTATTTATGCCAATTTTTCTAATCATCTACATAATTACTTTTACTGGTGCTCTTTATTTACTTATGCCTATTTTAGTTTCATCTGCTATCACTTCTTTGCAGTCTAAAGAATTTCATTTAGTGTTGCTTGTGGGGGATTTCAGCTAGCAACACATTCTCTGTCTGCGTATATCTTTATTTCATCTTTGTTTTTGAAGGACAGTTGTAAAGAACAAAAAATTCTTGCTTGGCTGTCCCCTCTCCTCCCGCCCCCAGCACTTTAATATGCCATCCCAACTACCTTCCAGCCTCCACTGTTTTAAATGAGAAGCCAGCAGTTAATCTTATGGTGGCTCCCTTGTATATGAAGAGTCATTTTCTTCTTGCTGCTTTCAAGATTTTCTCCTTTTTGTTTTTTTCAACTTGATGTGCAGGTGTCTAGAAGTGGATCCCTTTGTGTTTATTATACTTGAAGATTGAGTTTTTTGGATGTATTGAAAAATATTTTTCATCATATTAGGGAAACTTTTGGCCATTATCTCTTCATTTTTTTAACCCAGTCCTACCCACTTTTTTTTTTTTTTTTTGAGTTGGAGTCTCACTCTGTCACCCAGGCTGAATTGCAGTGGTATGCTCATGGCCACCGCAGCCTCGACCTGCTGGGCCCGGTGATCCTTTTGCCTCAGCCTTCCAAGTAGCTGGAATTACAGGCATGCACCATCATGCCCAGTTAATTTTTTGATTTATTTGTAGAGATGAGGTCTGGCCAAGCTGCCCAGGCTGGTCTCAAACCCATGGACTCAAGCAATCCACTCACCCTGGCCTCCCAAAGTGCTGGGATTATAAGCCTGAGTCATCCTGCCTGGCCCTACCCACTTTTATGGGATTCTCATTGTACATTTGTTGGTGTCTCAAAGGTTTTGAGATTTTGTTCAATTTTCTTCTTTTTTCCTGTTCTTTGGATTGGGTGCTATCTTTATGTTTGCTGATTTTGTTCAATTTTCTTCTTTTTTCCTGTTCTTTGGATTGGGTGCTATCTTTATGTTTGCTGATTTTGTGTTTTGCCAGCTAAAATCTTCTCTTGAGCTGCTCTAGTGAGTTTTTCATTTCAGTTACTGTATTATTAAACTCGAGAATTTCCATTTTTAGAGATACTTTCTGTCTCATTTATTAATATTCTTATTTGATGAGTCATGGATGTTATCCTTTAATATTTCAGACATATTTACTTTGGTTCTTTAGTTTTTATTTATTTTTGAGTTGGAGTCTCACTCCATCGCCCAGGCACACTCACGGCCACTGCAGCCTTGACCTGCTGGGCTCAGGCAATCCTTCTGCCTCAGCTTTCCAAGTAGCCAGAACTACAGGCACACGCTACCATGCCTGGCTAATTTTTTTGATTTACTGTAGAGACAAGGTCTCGTCAAGTTGCCGAGGTGGGTCTCGAACTCGTGAGCTCAGGCAATCCACTCACCTTGGCCTCCCAAAGTGCTGGGATGACAGGCTGAGCCACCGAGCCCAGCCCACTTTGGGTCTTCAGAGTCTTTGTTAAGTCCAACATGTGTCCTCCCCCCAAGATACTGTATTTATTGAGTGCTCTTTTCAAGTATAGGGATCACTATTTCCTGTATTTCACATATCCTTTTTGCTTGAAACTGGACATTTTAGATAATATAGTGTAGCAATTTTAGATTCTGATTTCCTCATTTCCCAGGAGTGGTGGTTATTGCTGTCTTTTTAGTGACTTGCCTGCATTGTGTAGAGTCTGTTTCTCCTGCAGTGCATGGATTCTGATATACCTACTCACTTTATTCATTATTTTATTCTTGCTTTTATCTTTAAGTCTGGCTTTCTAGTGTTCTCCCCTGGGTCAGCATAAGTGGTCAGGCAATGATTGGTCAGAAATTGTGCTTAAGCATCTTGTTATGGTCCAAACTATGTTCCATAAAACTTGTATGTTAAAGTCCTGAGCCCAGGGGTTCAAGATTAGCTTGGGCCACTTGGTGAGACCTTGTCTCTACAGTAAATCAAAAAATTAGCTGGGAGTGGTGGCACACGCCTATGATTCTAGCTACTTGAAAGGCTGAGGCAGAAGGATCGCCTGAGCCCAGCAGGTCGAGGCTGTGGTGGCCGTGAGCATGCCACTGCACTTCAGCCTGGGTGACAGTGAGACTCCAGATTAAAAAAAGATAAAAAAGTCTGAATGCCCAATATCTCGGAATATGACAATATTTTGAGATGAGGTCTTTAAAGTAGTAATACATTATATAATAAAGAAATTAGGATGGGCTCTAATCCAATATGACTGATGACCTTATAAGAGATGAGGACACAGAGACATAAAGAGAGAAGACCATGTGAAAGACAGGGAGAAGAGAGCCATCTGAAAACCAAAGAGAACAGTCTCAGAAGAAACTACACTTACCAACATCTTGATCTTGAACTGCTGGCCTCTAGACTTGTGAGAAATCTGTTCTTTAAACCACATAGTCTGTGGTGCTTTGTTATGACAGCCCTAGTTGAGTGTTAAGACACTTTGAGCCAGCTGGACTTCTACCCTTTCCCAAGAAATGAGTGTAGCTTGAGCAATATATTCAAACTTTAGGCCATTTATGAGCCTGCCCCAGCTTTTACTTTATTTTGCAAGGCTTCTTATTCAGTCGAGGGCTCACAGGGCCTTTTCCAGTCTCCTTAGCATGCGTATAGCTTTGCACATGTTTATATTCTGCCATATCATAGGAGATAAGTAGGATGTTATTAAGGCCCACTATGGCTGTCTTGCTCTTTGAATCCGTCTACTGAGTTTCTCATTGATTGCCAGTCATTGTCAGGTCCCAACAAGTAGTGATCTTAGTCAGGCTAGGAATGACGTCGGCCTTACCTGCTTGCTTGGCACTGAGATCACTGTTGTTTTAATAATACCCCTGGTCGTGGAGTTTTTTGTGCTCTGCTCCAAATAAAACTAGCTTTCTCAAGCAGTGAGGTTGCTGGTCTCCACAGTCCAACTCACCGAGGTAAACTGCATAATGGCACCTGAGAGTAGGGTAGGAGAACTGGGATTGGCCCTAAGCTCACCTAAGCAGTAGACATCCACTGTTCTTGCGAGGTTCAAGGTTCAGTAGATTTTTTTAGATAAACCCTTCTTGATTTGTTGTATGCTTTAGTCAACATCCTGAATTTTTAGGAGGTTGTTTATTGACTATTTTGTTCAGTTTTAGAATATCTTTTTAAGGGAGGAGTTGCCATGTCCTTACTCAGCCATTTGGGAAGTCCTACTCAAAACCTTTTTCTATGTAGCCTCACAGTTGCTTCTGTATTTCAGTTCATTGCTATTCAGAGTAGTCCTCCTTGACCATCCTATGTGAAATAATCTTTGCCTCATCTCCTTACTCCATTTGATTTTTACTTCATAACCTTTTTCATTTCTTGACATCATTTTATATATTTACTTATTGATTGTCTTTCTCCCCCATTGGAATGCAAACTTTCTGATGGAAGGGACACTGTCTAGCTAATGACTGCATCCTTAGTGCCTGTTTACAATGTCCAGCAAACAGTTCATCCTCCATAAATTTTGAGAGAGAATGAATGAATGTTAGGAACATAATCTTTTTAAGCTTGTGAGAAAATGATCATGCTCATAAACTTTTATGGTTCTGTAAGTTGTTATAGCATTTTGGGATATTATTAAACTTGATTCTGCAGTTACACTTCTGGGAATTGACTACCTATAGAAATAGTGATCTTGCCTGCAAAAATATTTGTATTGGAATTTTCATTGCATCATTTATAATTTAGAAAAAACTAGAAGCAGAGCTAAATATGCAGGGAATGCTAAATACTAAGAAAAACAATGAAACTATTATTACTTTTTTAAAGACGTGTGGTAAAATTCAGGGTTAGGTATACAAATGTTCATTATGCAACTACCCTTTTTGATGAGATGTGCGCCTCCCACCCCTGGTAGTTTCCCTCAACTGCCAATCTCACTCCCTCTCCCCTAGCAGTTTCCCACTACTGCCAATCCCTTCTTTATAGTATTATGATAATTGTTCAAGGTTTGCTTATGAGTAAGAATGTATGGTATTCTGTTCTTTGCTTCTGTGACAGATCACTGAGGAGGATAGACTCTAAATCCATCCAAGTTGCTGCAAGGTTCATATGTTTGTCCTTCTTTATGGCTGCATAATATTCCCTTGTGTATACGAACCACATTTGTTTTATCCAGTCCAGCTTCGATGGGCAGCATGGTTGGTTCCGTGTTTTTGCTATTGTGAATAGAGCTGCAACAAACATATGTGTGGAGGTATCTTTGCTGTAGAACGATTTGAGTTCCTCTGGGTATATTCCCAATAGAGGAATTGCTAGGTCATCTGGAAGGTCAATTTCTAGTTAAAAGGCATTGTTTAGATATGTTTTGTAATGGAAAGCTGTTTATGATAGTTGCAAGAAATGCATATGACAAAACAATGTGAATATGATTACACAATTAGTAAAAAAAACCTTTTTTTGGTATAGATTTGGATAGGTAGGTATGATGAGGACTGTATTAAGGAAATACTTTTTGCTCTATAATGTTTTTACTTTGAAATTCATAGTTTCACGTTTTACTTTTGTAATTTTATGTTTTTCTACTTATAAAATAAAAAAGTAAAGGAAATATCATCAGACATTCCATTTTTGTTAGTTCTAAACATATTGTATCAGTGCACTTTGTCTCCTCATGGACCGTGCTTACTAGAAATCAACATCTCTTCATTTGTCAGAGAGTAGGTAAACACTTACCAAATGCACACAGCAACATATTGAGTATGCGAATGCCACAGAAAATTCCAGGGGGTAAAAGATCATTAAAATCCGTGAAACTTCCCTCCCAAGTTTCTGTAACCAAAAGACAGGGAGAAATCTTGCATTGTTATCTTTATTGAGTACAAACATGCTCATGGGCCGCTAGTACCTATAATCCCAGCACTTTGGGAGGCCGAAGTGAGAGGATTGCCCATGGGTTTGAGACCATCCCTGGCAACTTGGTGAGACCTCATCTCTGCAATAAATCAAAAAATTAGCCAGGCGTGGTGGTGCGTGCCTATGATTCCAGCTCCTTGGAAGGCTGAAGCGGAAGGATCGCCTGACCCCAGCACTGCACTCCAGCCTGGGCGACAGAGTGAGACTCTGACTCAAAACAAACAAACAAACGAAAACATGCTCATGGAGGGAACTCCTAGAACAAGAGACAGGGAAAAGAGGAAATCCAGGATAAAGAAACCTCTCACCATGAGATTTCCCTGGGCATTTCCACTCCTTTGCCTTCTCTTGCACCTTTCCAGGCTTTCATTCTCCAACTCATCATATGTGGCTTCCATCCTTGATCTTCATCACCCAGTATTCCTGTCTCCCTTTTGACATCCTTTTATTCTTATTAATGTCCTTATGACAGAGTCCCTGGCACAGCACACCCTCTGAACTCCTCAGTCAGTAAGATTTGACTCTTTCGTCTCTAATAATAAGATGACTACCATGAGATTTATCAAGTGATCCTCTTCTATTGAAACAACTATTATTAATGACTTAAATCCATATGTAGTGATAAAAATCTCACATAGATACTTCTGTAATATCATATACACAATTAGTGAATTCAAAGGATGTTTCACTTGGAAGCATAAGGTGATTTTGATTGCTGAAATAAATAAAATAAAACAGACTGTCTTCTGTTGCTACCGGAAATATATTTTCAACTACATATCTGATTGGTTAGTTGTGTGAATGATATTGGTGCTCATCTTGAAAATGTAGGTTTTGTGCTGGTTGTGGAAAGACAAGAATGATATTTAGATCTAGGAAGAATGACAACATAATTCTCCTTTCTTCATTCCCTTCTCTTTCTCCTCTTCCTTCTTTGTTGGATTTATTTAATATCTTTTAAACTGTTAGGTGGTGGGAATCAGATGAGAGGAATGCAATGATACATAAAACTTCCTGATTTCTCGTTTGTATTCAAGTAGAAGAGTCAGAAAGGTGACATAAGGTTAACATATGAAAAGGTTGAATATGTCAAAGTGGACAAAAACTTGTTTAATACTTCTCGGGGACAGGAAGGTCACCCTAAGCCACTGATCTCTGGAACGTCTTCGTAAAGAGGTAGGACTTTTAAAATAAGGAAAGGCCTGAGAAAAATGTAGGGGAACAGCAGCATTCTAGGTTACTTTAAATTTTTATTTACTTGTTTCTTTGAAAGCTATCTTGCTTCAGAAAGAATTTAATAGCATAAATTAAAAGTGTGACAAAATAATCTTATAATGGAGACATAAAGTTGAACCAATAATAAAGTTACAATGTGTATCGTAACAACCTACAGTTTTATAATGTGAGAAAAAAACTGACCATGTGAAATATAACATGTTTTAAGAAAATGATAAAATAAGTTTTAGCTGCAGTGCTCAATTATGTATGATATAAACAGGAAGATGAGGAAAAGATGTAGAGGATGTGAAATATCAAGGTATAGAATTCTGATTTAATTTTCTTGGTAGAAACACACAATCATAACATTTTAGCTAGAAAGAACTTGTGACCTTTTAGTTGGCAAGACTATGGAAAGTCATTTTGTCCATGTTTCTTAATTTTTACAGGTTAGTGTTAGTTTAAAACTCTTCTCCTGGAAGTGGAAAAGGGTCTGCCAGAGAAGCTCAGATAGGAAAACAAGAAAAAGACAGAGACAGTGACTGAGTTCCTGTTACATAATGTAAGTTAGCTTCTAGACCCAACTTAAGTCAATAAGTCCCCTTTTTTGCTTGTCAATTTAATTTGTATTTTCTGTCACTTAAAACCAAGAGAACCCTAATTAATAAAAGTTTAAATAAAGAATAAGCAATATTTGGTCATTAGAAAAACAGTAGAACGAGAAGGGTGAAGTATTATGCCAAGATCTTGAGTGTAAGAGACCGAAACAGGAGAGTCATGCAGTATAGTACTTTTGAGAAGGTAAATAATTTACATTTTGTACCTGTTGAGTTTGAGATGATAATGATAGAAACATATGCTAGGGGAAAAGTCAAGCTAACCATTAAAACAACAGGCCAGGAGTTTGGAAGAAAGAACAGAGGAGTCACCTAACAGGCATGTATTAACATTTTCTCTGTTTTACGCATAAAAAAGCCTAAGGAACAGGAAAGTCAGGAAACTTTTCCAAAGGGTTACACAGTTGGTGAGTATTGAGGATAGTATTTAAATTAATGCACTCTGATTCTGGAGTCTATACTATTTCTCATTTTGCTACATGAGGAGCATATTTCAGATGCCTGTATCTTTGGGGATAGCTGAACCTATCTGGGAACACTGATAATTTGATGAGTTTGTGGATGTAGCCAAGCCTTTTGTTTACATTAGAAAAGTTGGCATATAAAAACCTGGAAAACATTAGCTGCCTTATTAAATGTGGGTATATAATTCTATAATGCCACTAGGAAAGGATGGTGGCTTAGAGATATAAGTCTAATATACAAACTCATTTTGCGTAACTTATCACAGTAAACAATGTTGAGATCTGTGGTTCTGGGAGATTGTGAAACTAATCAGTAATACTGAGTTCAAATCAGGCAAATACACTCTACAGTGGTTTGTAGTACTGATTGCAAAAGACAGGCCTTGGTCATCACGCCATATTATCTTTCACTGATGATTAAAAATTTATGAATAAGAATAGTGACAACTTGAAACAATTATGCACCTAATAGCTTAAGTCCTGCCTCTATGTTCCCTGCCTCAAAAGTAGAACTGAAGACTTCTAGATTGAATGCTCAGGGCAACTGGAAAATTTTCTTACAATTTATAGAGGAAATCTGGTCCATGTTTATTTAAATCATCATTCGTTACACATATCTATTTTGGGGTATTATTGTACTTTCTGTCATTGTCTCACTGCCCTCTAGGCTTTGGCTCTTCATGCTTGGATTCTTTCCACTGATGGTCCCCTTTATAACATATTGCAGGTATGAAGAGGAAGTGTGTAGGGGATGAGCAGGAAGTCTATCCCTTAGCTACGAATGTCTACTCGTTATTGTAATTGCTATTTGTTTTATTCTGTTGGTCGAACAAGGAAGAGCTCCACTCCAAGCTGTCCTCATTTTGAATGCTAGATTTTTATAAATATCATTACTAAAGTCTTTTGCAGCACTAATATCCTATGATTCTGAGTTTAAAGCCAATACAATTAAAATAAATCTATTGTGTTTTGAGTAAAGATATTCACATTTCCCAAAGAACTAAGTAGAAGCTAGATAGGTTTATATAAATTTGGCTTTTGTGAACTTAAAGCAAAATTCAAGTAAGATGCAAAGACAGACTGTGTATGAAAAGTTCTATGTTAAACCAGAAATTACTAAGTGTCTGTAATTTGAATTTTATGTTTCAATAGCAGAATTGTCTCACTGATTTATGGAATTTTTTTTTTTTTTTTTTGGTCCAGGATGATATTTTTCTTGTATTGAGAGAATCATTAAAGCTCTGTGCCTAATGCATAGACACTTGTCACTGAAGCTTTCAAATTCTTTATTTCAGCAAGTCAAGAATTCAAACATTCTATTAATATTTACCAAAAACAACATTTTAGAATTACTTTTGAATTAAAAATTTTCAACTAGAAGGCCACTACTAAATCAAAGAATGTCATGAGGACCAATAAAAGCCTGCCTCATCTTATCTCCTATGTCTTCAAAACAGTTGAAAAGAATATTTTTCAAAACTAAGATGTTCCCATAGAATTGGCCACTTACCGCTTGTCCATAATTCCTATAGGACACAGACTTAAAAGTAGACAACTCAATTACTGTTAGACATAGTGCAATTATTGCAATAATTATACAGAGAATGTTCAGGCTCAAAGAAGATACCACCTGAAAAGGAGACACAAGGTAAATTTACTATATTCAGAATCACCATTTTGGTTAAGCAGCTTGTATTGCTGAAAAAAAAAGTCATCTAGTTAAGACTTTGATCTAGTTTCTAAAGCTTTAGAAGGGTTTAGATGCTTGTTATTAGTGTAAAATATTTTTCTGGTTTACATGAAACTCAGTTAACCTGGAGAAAACATTAAAATCATCAGACCAATAATCATCAAACTTCCACCTGGGCTTAAACATATTGTATTCTACAACGTTTTGAGTCAGTTAGAAGAAAGCCTACAAGATATGACTTTAACAAAAGGCATTCCACTGTAAGAAAACAAAAGTAAAAAAAAGATAGAAAATGACTGCTTATAGAAATACAAACAAATATGAATTAATACATTTTAATCCTGGGTTTTCATTACCTAAGGAAATCTATCAAAATCTTTGGACATCGGTTTTTTAATCTGTAAAATTATGAAATCAGACTAATTAGTTCCTCACATATTGTGGGCTCTAGGATTCTAAGGTGTTCTTCCCAATATAATTCCATTTATATCATATTTGGATCTTTTCTGTTTTTTTTGAGTTGAAGTCTCACTCTGTCGCCCAGACTGGAGTGCAGTGGCCGCTCCCAGCCACTGCAACCTCGCCTGCTGGGCTCGGGTGATCCTTCCACCTCAGCCTTCCAAGTAGCCAGAATTACAGGCATGCACTACCACGCCTGGCTGATTTGATTTATTGTAGAGATGAGGTCTCGCCAAGTTACCCAGGCGGGTCTCAAACCCGCGGGCTCAGGCAATCCATTCACCTCAGCCTCCCAAAGCACGGTATTACAAGCTGAGCCACGGAGCCCGGCTGTATTTGGATCTTTATTATGGACAAATCTCCTACTTTGCTACCAGAGACAATCCTGTTTCCAAACTGGATAGTTCAGTAAATGAACTTTACAGCAGTATAACGTCTATATATAAAGTCATTAGGTCCTACTAAATTTTTTTTCATCAGAAGGTTTATACAAACAACAAACAACAGCAAACAACACAAAACTATATTTAGAAACCTTTATATAAGGTAATCATAATTTTAACTAATCCAGCATATTTGTGTACATTAAACTATGTGCTTCCAGATTTATACTTAATTCTTTCATTTATTTTACAGGTAGGGTAAATTCCTTTATTGTTTATACACTCACCATCTTACATGAAAACCTAACGTTTAGCTTTGTGACAAGTGATTTCAAGAGATACCCTAAGCATTTCAGCTTACCAGGGATTGAGTTGGAGTCTTTGTTGCTTTTATGATGAAGGCTCCTGAAATGATAAACTGGATATAAAAACATATATTTATTAATACTCATGGATAATGCTTGCCAAGGGGAATGCATTTTTAACAACTCTCTTATAAGTGAATTACTTTTAGAATACTAAGAGTAACAAAATACAAAAACTTTTTAGTAGAAGTGGCCAAGACAAGTTTCCATTAGGCAGTAATGAATTAAAAGGTAACAACAGTAGGGTAACTCATAACAGAAATATAGAGGGTGGTGTATGCCAAAGATAGCCTGAGCAGTCCTGAACAAGGAACCAGGTTTACTTATATATGTGTGTGAGCTACTCCATGTATGAGGTCTGACAATTAAGTGCGAACTCATCCTGGAAAAAGTGCTCCATACCTCATTGATGAATTTCACTATGGTCCCCTTCGAAGTCCTCCCCTTGGGAAGCTATGCCAGTGCCTAGTCCACCTGTTAAAACAATCTTGGAACTCTTTTTCTGGAATGGCCATCAGAGGTGTTGTCGTATTACCCTTGATGTCCTGAATGTCATCAAAATGTCTTTCTTTCAATTCTCCTTTATCTTTGGGTAAAGAAAAAAGTCACTGGGGGCCTGATCAGGTGACTGGGGAGGGTGTCCTAATACAGTTACTTGTTTACTGGCTAAAAACTCCCTCACAGACAGTGCTGAGTGAGCTGGTGCATTGTCGTGATGCAGGAGCTCCTTTGGGACCACTTGTGCACACACTTTCCTCATGCTGACGTTTTCAGTTGAGATTTTCCTGTTTATCTGTCAATGACTATTTGGACTGTTATGCTTCTCACAGTCAGTCAACAATTTCAACGCACAACTCGATAAATGTTTGCAATGTTTTCATCAGTTCTACTTGTTCCTGGTTGTCCTGACCTCTCTTCATCAGGGATACTTTCTCTCCCCTCAGAAATTTAATGGATTAAATGTATACTCCTGTTTTCTTCATGGGATTACCCCCATAACTTGGACTCACATGTCCCTGATTTCACTTCCACTCTTGCCAAGTTTAACAAGAAATCTAATGCCTGCTTGTTCCTCGAATTCAGGCTCCAACATTCTTGCAACAGCATACAAAGACATGCACCAACAATAATGAAGACCATTCAGCAAGACATCGCCACAAATCAACACAAACACAGCTGTGAGACTCTGATACACTAAGGTCAGGAAAACTTGCCAGGTTGTGTGTACAGCACAGCCAACCTAAGCGCAAGGTGGCAAGTTCGTGAACTTAATTGTCACACCCCAGATAACTCTTTTGATTATTATTTCTAATGCTATCCTTTCTGATAAGATGGTGCCATTGATTATAATTACTGTGTACATACCCAGATATGGAAAAAGTGATTCAAGGTGTATTCCACATTGATCATAAAAAATAATAGTCTCATTTATCTGAGACCACAGTTGTCATTAAGGCAATGGCAGCTATTTATGCTGTTGCCTTTGTTTTTTTTAAACAGTTTTCATCATTTCATGTCAGGAAGCCTGCTTCCAAGAGGTGTAATGCTATGCCAAATTGCTTGAAGGTAGGCTGTACAATTCCCTTGAGATAGTCCTTGTCTTATCTCTCTTAGTGATAAGACAGTAAGGAACCAAGTCAAAGGCACATTTTTGTCATGCTGCATCCTTATGCAGGAAGGTCAAACCTGAAGCTTATAAACTCTGCAAGGCTAACTTTAGATCTACACCTTCATCACATCATTCTCTAACAAAAACTAAGATTACTAAGAAGGTACATAGGAAGGTAAGAACTAGCTCAGAAGATAAAGTGGAAATACTAACATCTTGTGAATTTTGATCCAGAGTGCTATTAAGATTATCTCTGACTCGACTGTCATGCACTTTGCAAAATGCTTTTCAAAGTTTATACCTCAACAAGAAAAGTTTGCACTGGATTACATTTAATTGAAATTTTAGATACATTATCCTAGAAGGTAAGAATGCTATTTTTATAACAAGGGACATGCATCGTTTTTCTGGGTTTTATCTGAAAATTCACTATTTTTCTCCTATTTTTCCGAAGGCAATGCTTTGACACCTGTGAACCAGTATATCATTTAGCATTTATCAGTTATTAGCTAGTATATCATTTATGAGCCATGCATCATTTAGGATCTACATATCAGGGTTTTGAGGGAAAAGTCAATATTTTTCTCCCATCTTGGAAAACCAAGGCAGTCCTTTAATTTAGGAGCCCATGCCTGTGTACAGGCAGGGGATCGCCTCAAGATCACTGATCCTCTAGTGATACTTGCCCTCTCGAATGGCAGCCATCTTGTCTCCTATCAGTCTCATTCCATATGTTCTAAGCATGAGGTAAGTGGTTTCCTTGCCCCTTATTTCTACTTCCAATCATTCTTTCTCCTCCACCTTTGAATCAGATGTCATCAGATTCTAACATCCACCATCCTTCTTTGTTGAAGTCATCTGTTGACCCCTTAGTCATTCCTCTTTCCAGATGCTTTTAATGCTTGTCTCTCTCTCTCTCTCTCCAACACCACTTAATCTTCAGGGAGTTAAATATATACAGAGACATATGATCCTTCAAATATCCTAGGCTTGTGGTTCTTGAATTTCTCTCCTCCAATCCCTCACTTCAAACCATCTGTGGCACTCACTTCCATATTCACTCTTTTGCCCTTGTTATACCTTTCAAATCTCAATTTTGAGTATACCATCCTGACCACCACCTGGTATCTTTCTAGTTCATGCCCTCTAGTATTAAAATTCTAACCATGCTTTCACCCCACCTGGATCTGTAATTCAAGATCCTCACCTCCCTGACCTCTCTCACAAAACTAATTCTATAGTTAACCATTATAACTGCTCCCTTATATCCATTCTCAACTCCTTTGTACCTTTCTTGTTTCACTGCAGTTGCATGATTAAACCAAAATCTTCATGGAATGTTCTCTTCCTCCTGCATGCCTGCACCCGTGCAGCTGAACATGGCCTGAGATGCACAACCCATTTCAGGATACAATCATGTTCCTAAACCCCAAGTGTGCCCTTCATGCTGCATGAAAATCAAATGACTTTTCCATAATCCATGCACTGTCTCACTTTTCCTAGGTGACTACTTCACATCCTCTCCTGTCTCCTCAAAAAACCAATGCACTTGCCCATCCTCATTATCAGCTCATGATTTGGTTTCCAAATTCATGGAGATATCTGAAGCTATTGAAAGAAAAAATTCCATAAGCTATCAACATCCTGCCAGAACCTGTCCTTTTTCTGACTCTGCCTTTCCCTCCTAGTTCCCGATCTTGACGCTATTCATAGTAAGGCTGGATAATTCTTTGCTGTGAGAGGTTGTCCTGGGGATTATAGGCAATTTTGCAGCACCAATGTCCTCTGCCTTTGAGATTTACACCCCAGCTGAGAAAACTCAGAATAGCCACAAAAATGGTGACATGTCCTCTGAGGGGCAAAATCACCTCTAGGTGAGAACCACTGCCAGGGATGAACTGTCCATGCTTCCAGCTTTTGTGCACTAAACTTCATCATCTCTTGCTTACATAAATACTTGATTCCAAAACCCACCTCCATTTACTCATATCATCAATTTTTTTTCTTCTGGCTTAGCCCTTGAAACAAAAGATATGGTACTATTTCTTTCGATGCACAGAAACCAAGAAGCAAACCCTCTCTTGACCCAAATTTCCCTAGCAGTCATCCCATTTCTCAATACCTCATTACTGCAAAATCCTTAAAGGCGTTGTCTGTATTTGCTACCTCTAATTTCTCTCTTCCGATGATTTTTTAACCAGCTCCAATTGGGCTTTTGCCTCATCATTCCACTGAAAATACTGGTTTCCATATTGCTAAATCCAGCCACCCATTCTTTACCCTCCTCTGATTTGACAGAACAACAAAATATATAGTTGACCTTTCCCCATTTCCTGCAACCATTTCTTCACCTGGCTTCCAGGGGGGCCACACTCTCCAGGCTTTCACCCTACCTAATGGCTGTCTGGAAACCATGGAAGAGTGTCAGTAATGGTAAACTGAGGAAGTGAGTATTGACTCATTGGATGAGGAGGCTAAAGTGAAGACTGAACATGAAAGTTAATCGTGCTAATGGATATTAGAGTTAACATCCTTCGCCTTTCACACAAAAAGGGACAATCTACCTATGGCTGTCACTGTGTACTCACTCCTGAATCCACAGCTCTTGAAGGAGCACTTGTAAATTAAAGGTGCTCAATACACATTTGTTGAAAGAAGGAATTTGACTTCAAATAAATTAACATAGCCGGGCTCAGTGGCTCAGCCTGTAATCTCACGCCTTGGGAGGCTGAGGTGAGTGGATTGCCTGAACCTGCGGGTTCAAGACCCACCTGGGCAACTTGGTGAGACCTCATCTCTACAATAAATCAAAAAATTAGCCGGGCGTGGTAGCGTACGCCTGTAGTTCCAGCTACTTGGAAGGCTGAGTCGAAAGGATCGCTGGAGCCCAGCAGGTCGAGGCTGTGGTGGCTGGGAGCGGCCACTGCACTCCAGTCTGGGCGACAGAGTGAGACTTCAACTCAAAAATAAAAATAAATAAATAAATTACCAGGATGGGATTTGGCTACATCATTCTCCCAAAAATCTTTAGAAACTGTTCCTTACCTTCTACATTTGGCATGACTATTATTTAACTGAATGGTTAAATCAATATATTTGTATTCTACTCACAACAATTCCCCATGATGTACATCCTGTTTTGTAAGTTAAAGGTTCATATGTTCCAAAGACTCCTTTAATTTGTCCTGTATACAGGGTCAGCAGTAAATACCACATGAAAACACTAAAGATACCAATCATAATCTGGACAACCTGTGAGAAGAGAACACTATTAGTACTGAGATAAAGTAACAGAAAACACAATTACAGGAAGTGTTTACTATAAAGAAAATTTAACACTTTTACATAAATGAAAGTGAAATAGAAATGGACTTAACAATGTATTTCCAGGATTGATTAGCCTAGAAAGAAGGACCAAACAAGTAGAGACTGGGATCTACCAAACTGAAATCAGCCATCCTTAGAGCAACAGACTGTTCCATAATCGTAGTTGTGGCCAGTTTTCCTATAAGAAAGTTAACAATTTAATTCTACCACTGGCTATCCTCCCTTCCTACCAAGTAATGTTATGAGAAAGGAATACTGTGGGTATATCAGAGGAAATGTAGTTACTAATCTACTTGGATTCAAGAAGCCATATAGCCAAGATTTTCTCTCATATTAGTAGTTTATCAAGGGTGAATCACTTTTTGAAACTTATGAAGGTCTGTATTTTCCTTCAAGGAATACCTGGCATGGATTTTTTCATAAGTATACTAGAGTGAGGTACAATCCAACACAGTGATATAAAGAATATCCAAAATGTACTTGCTTGCATTAGTTAGGTCTTCTCGTTGGCTAGGGGATGAGTTAGAATATGGGGGAATCATTACTCATCTTTAATTTATAAGAAGATACTTATAATTCCAGTAAATTTATTTCTAAAGTTATATGTGAATTGATATTTTATATACTGAATCACATTTTTAATCACTCTTTAAAAGTGACAGAGGAGCCATGCTCGGTGGCTCAGCCTGTAATCCCACGCCTTTGGGAGGCTGAGGTAAGTGAATTGCCTGAGCCCACGGGTTTGAGACCCACCTGGGCAGACGAGACCTCATCTCTACAATAAATCAAAAAATTAGCCGGGCGTGGTAGCACACACCTGTAATTCCGGCTACTCGGAAGGCTGAGGCGGAAGGATCGCCGGAGCCCTGCAGGTCGAGGCTGCGGTGGCCGGCAGCGGCCACTGCCCTCCAGTCTGGGTGACAGAGTGAGACTCCAACTCAGTAAAAAAAAAAAGTGACAGAGGATACATTTTTTATTTTCATATAAATTTAATGGGAAGCTATTTAATGTTTGAAGAGTTCCAGTTTCTCATAAAGCAAGTAGTCTATGAAATATATAAATGCAGTTGGGTAACTTAAAATATATATTTTAGAGAAGTTTTTTTTTTCTTAAAGAAAGGTGCCTTTATTTTTAACAGTTTTATACATTTTTATAGCTTTAGGATTTAAGGTTTCCTCTTGCATTCAATTTTCAAGAATATATTTCCAGGGGTTCTTTGGATTTGGAAAAATATCCCCGACTAGACTGCAAAATCCTCGAAGGCCTAGACTTTATTTTTCTCATTGTTGTATCACCAACTTCTAACATGGTGCTCAGCATGAAGCAGGCTACCCAGTAAATACTTCTTCTATAAGGACACTGGTATCAAAAATGGTAATTTCACATGACTTTCCCAACATGTTGAAAGGAGTGGGCTTGAAAAAACAGTATCTCTTTTCATAAGATTGGCTGTTGTTCTACATAAAACTATTAAATATCCAATTAGCCAAAGCTTATAAAGAACTGCCAGTGTGTACAGAAGGGCAAGATGGAATTTCTTATTTTAAAATGGTTGTTTTCTCTTCTTTTTTTTTTTTGCCACTGTATATTTTAATTTGCATTTATTATTTTTAACTGACACATAATCATTTTACATAATATATGGGGTACATTTGATATTTTGATACATGCATACCATGTGTACTAATCAAATAGGATACTTGTTATATTTACCACTTCAATCATTTATCATTTCTTTGTGTTGGAAAAATTCAAAATTTACTCTTCTAGCTATTTGAAAATATACAATAAATTATTGTTAATTATAGTCTCCCTGTAAAACTAGAATTTATTCCTCCTATCAAATCTGCTTTTTAGTTGAAACATTGATTCACTTACACTTAATGTAATTATTGCTGTTTTTTTAATTTAAGTCTTTCATTAAAAATGGTTATCTACTAGAACAATAAATGGGTTCCAGGAGGTCAGACTGCTCCCTCTGCCCTACCTCCAAAAAAAAAAAAAGGAATGCAAAGGACTATGTACATAATTCTGAGGAGAAGACTGGAGTTTTCTTTCTATGCCAAAGTGGTCTGTGTCCCCAAAGCAGTTGAGAACTTCTGCTGAACAGTCAGGCAGAGATCTAGACAAATGATCTACACAACATCCACATTGAGAAAAAGTTCATATCAGTGGAAAAGTTATCTCCCCTTCAGATGTGAAAAAGCACAATGCTCATAACTCCTTGGAGTTTATTATACAGCGAGATCAAATGTAACCTCCTATGTTTATAACTTAATAGAAGAGACAAGTTTATAATCATTCTATTATGTAGACTTCAATATAATATTTAAAAGAGATCAGTGATAGCTCTCTGTCAAAGTCAAAAAACGCCAGATACACATACTCTCTGTTTTTCTTTTATTCCTTATTTGGATTTCTCTATTACCTTGTGCGTGCTGGTTTAGCGAGTATACTTATACATGTATTTGTTTATGAAGGAACATGAGATCTGTCCATCAGAATTTGTAGAAGACAATCAACATTCTAAAGAAAGAAACTTTACTTTTGGTTTAATCAAATCTGCCCCCTCTAGAACCAAAATATCTCTAAAAAAACTGAAATAGTTCATGATCCTGAAAGTAGTTGGTCAAAGTGAAACTTGACTTACCCCTAAAGCAAGAGAATCTCCTTCAGGGACATTGGAATGTGTACACGCTCCACGGCCCATGCTGCTGGCATTTCATCTAGAAGATTTTATCTCTAATCTCTGGTGATAACTTTAATGGCAAACTTCTACAAAAAAATACAAGACACATACACATGATTTTCTCAGAAGAAAATATGTGAGTTGGAGTCTTTCCTTATTGTTTGGCAATCACCTCCCCAAATTCAGAAGCAATACCTTTCTTCTTTCTATTCCTTCATTCTTAGAGGCACCACCCTTTTCTGAGTAATTGAGAAGCCTTTCTTGATGACTAAAAAATTGGCATGTTACAGATATTATCTCTGAGTAGTAAGTAGTGTCTCTAGATGATAAATTATAAGGAACACCTAGGGAATAATACTTGAGAATTTTCAGTTAGGTTTTCCACAATCATTTGCAATTCATAATCAATTCAGTGCAATTCATAATGCCATGTCTGCATTGTGAAAACCAAGTTCTTGTACTAAAATTCACCAAAAATGGGCCTGTGATTTTTTTCCTGACACATACCTGCTACCCAGTTCTCCTCTCCATATGAAAATAACCTTTTCTTCTATCAGGCAACTTATAAAAGTTGCTTTTACAATAATGATACCTCCTGTTCTTTATTTTTTTCATGTTATTCCTACATTCCTCTCTGATGTTCAGATCATCTGCCTATTCATATTAAGATAAGAACCTGGTTAATAATTATACCCCCTTGTTTCAGATCTCTTGGTAGATCTGAAATTCTATATCTATATTGGTCATGCCCATGCAAGTCAAGAGTCATGCCACTTGACTAACTGGTGATCCTAAAATTTGAGGCTTGATCTTTTCAGAATGGAAATCCCATGACTAGCTGATCTCCCAATTCTCTGCACCTTTAAATGGGTCTTTGGTTTCCAAAATTTGGTTTCTAAAATTTGTGTCTCAAAGCTGTAAAGCAGAGAAAGAAAAAGCTAGGTAAGAATACAAGAGTTACATAAGCGGACTTTGAACAATTATCATAATACTATAAGAAAAGGATTGGCAGTAGTGGGAAACTGCCAGGGGAGGGAGGGGCATACCTCATCAACAAGAGTACCTGCATAATCAGTGTTTGTTAATACCTAATCCTGAATTCTACCCACATCTTAAAAACAAAAAAGAATACAAGAGTTAGTGGTAGCAAAAGAGAGACAACAATGTTAGTAATTGAAGTGAGCTTTATACATTCAAACACCGTCTTTGAGAAATAACAAAGAAATGGTTTGGAACTACAGGCAAACCCAATTAATCACTGTTATGATTAAATAAGCAACAGAACTATAGAATCCACACAGAGTAATGAATTATAGAATCTACATAGAGTAATGAGGAACAGTCATATCTAGATGGCTATTATTTGTCCTTTTCAGAGAACAGGAAAATAAAAGTAAGCCTTTTTGTATGTACAGTCAGCCTGTTTCTTCAGAATTATCCAATCGTAGATTGAAAATATTCAAAAAATAATAATAACAATAAAAAAACAAAAAATTCAGTATAACAACGAGGTGCATAGTATTTACATTGCATGAGGTATTATAAGCAATTTAGAGATGATTTAAAGTATATAGGAGGATATGCTTGTTATATGCAAACCCCATGCTATTTTATGTCAGAGACCTGAGTATCCTAGAATTTTAGTATTTGCCCAGCAGATATGGAGGGTTGTGTAGAAAATTTATTTCCACATTTGTAGCTAACAGTAGAGGCACCATGAAGTGACTTGGGGAGGAGAATGTTTAGCAACACTGTAATCTCCATCTGGTCCCCACCAAAACCATCCAGGTAGCATATTCATAAAAAATACTCATCAGCGAAAGAAAGTGTGTGTTGGGGAGGGAGTAGTTAAAATCCTCAGCTTAATCGATGGAAGAAAAACAATAAGAAATATTACAACACATTCTTGAAATAACTGATGGCTGGAATTCTTTTCGTTAAAAAAAAATTCTTTTAAAAAACATTCGACATGTGGCTACAGTTAAGCATCCCATTTTGTAAGTTTTGTAAAAATAAATAAATAATGTGCCATTTATTTGTTTATTTTGTTTTGTTTTTTTAAACGTTTTGGTCATCCCATCACTAACCTCAAAGCAGCTGCAGGATGAGCTCCCAGCCCTTATTCCCAACCCCATCTTATCCCCTAAACTTGCTTTACACAGACATTCGGAAAGTCACAAAAAGTCCATATCTAGAAACCCCTTCCCCTTCTCTATCTTTAGCAGGG